GCCCGAAAGTCATACAATTAAAATCAAATAAATGTTTCCACTTATTCGTGTTTGTATCAGAATGGCCTCAGCTGAAGTCACAAGCCATCCTTTCATTTCTTCTTTTTCAATAAAAGAAATATTCTTCATTGCAGATGCGTTGGTCACAGTCGGATATTGACAGACAAACTATTATCATTATTAAGATTTTTACTTTATCATCATTATTATTATCATTACATCATTTTTATAAATATTGTTATTATTGTTGTTATTTATATTATTATCATTGTGTTCCTTGCAATCATTGTTCTCTTGGCTCATTATCATTAATAATAATAACAATAATAATAATAATAATAATAATAATAATAATAATAATAATAATAATAATAATAACAATAACAACAACAATAATAATAATAATAATAATAATAATAATAATGATAATAATAATGATAATAATAGTATTATTACTATTCTTCTTCTTCTTCTTCTTCTTCTTCTTCTTCTTCTTCTTCTTCTTCTTCTTCTGCTTCTTCTTCTTCTTCTTTTTCTTCTTCTTCTTCTTCTTCTTCTTCTTCTTCTTCTTCTTCTTCTTCTTCTTCTTCTTCTTCTTCTTCTTCTTCTTCTTCTTCTTCTTCTTCTTCTTCTTCTTCTTCTTCTTCTTCTTCTTCTTCTTCTTCTTCTTCTTCTTCTTCTTCTTCTTCTTCTTCTTCTTCTTCTTCTTCTTCTTCTTCTTCTTCTTCTTCGAACAGAGGGTTGCATAGATTGGAAGGCGCCACTGGTACCTCTTCATTTTCTTCTTTTCGCTTGTTGCTTCTGTCTGTCTGTTTTACTCTTCCCCTGCACGAATTGACTCGTCATTGTGTTCGTGTGCTTCACTTGACACAAACGTATACTCCAACTTAAAAGAGATCGTCATTTCCTTTTCCGCTTAAACCCCAACGTGCTTCAGGTAAACTTTCTCTTTAGTGAAAGGAAAAGAAAAACAAGCAAGCAAGCAAACACCCCCACCCCCACCCCCAAAAGAAAAAAGAAAAAAGAAAAGAAAACGTGCTTCAAGTGAATCTTCTGTTGAGTGAAAAGAAATGAAGATCAAACATAATATAAACTAGAAAAAACAAGCAAACAAAACCAACAACACCCATCGCCTATTTGACCTTTCCTTCGCGAAATCTACCCCATAATCCTCACAAAGGATATCTTGGTGGATGCTGCACAGTGACGAACGGCTGTCTTCACTTCTCTCCGTGCTTGTTATGATTCCTCTGTTGTTGTTTTGGTAAGTGTTTTACCGCGCTTGCAAATGTATATGGTCATATGAGCGCGGAGGACACTTTAAACTTTTTGAGTCTGGTAGGAATCAATTTTGAATTTTGCCCGGTTGGCGGTCGAAGCCTACTCTTCTTATTGATTCTGGACTACAAAAGGCGCAACTTGCGCATGGAACCTACGGATTTGTCAGCCCTTTTCCAAGGACGTCAGGTATTGCATCTTTCCTACCCTAAGATCAGGGGTGTGGCTGAAAGACAGCAGTAAGAAGGAGCTAAGGAGTAGCAGTACAGAGGATGCCGAAAGAATCAGTAGCCCATAGGAAAGGCAAAGGTAGGTGGAGGCAGAAAGTGCAAACGAAAGCAGACAACAGAATATGGTTAAAGAGCTGGAAAGAAGGTGAAAGGAAAGATAGTGAGAGAAGATGATTTTCCGTCGCTGCCAGGTTTCGATCCCAGGACTTATTGAATGAGAGGCGAACACCGTAAACCCTCGTACATGAGAGCTCCCGTCAGGTGTTCTCCTGGTTGGGTCACTTGACCTGGAAGATTCTGACCTGTGAAGAAAGAAGAGCTCCAGGAGACCATGACAAGCACTGAAATCTCAGACCATTTGGAAACACAAAGCTTTATTTGGGGTTCTAAGACGCATTACGAGTCTGCTGTCGTGTTTAAAAATACAACATAAAATAATTATTCTTTTTTTTATTACCCTTTTACAGGAGAAATAAAAAACGTAATAAAAAGAGTCTAAGCATTAAAACAGTATGTCGTCACAGAAAAATATGATATTAGACCTTATACAGTTATAACACACTTTGCTTATCACTTTTCTGGAAATAATTAAAATTACTTCTCTTGTTTAATAGATCCTTTTATTCTTACATCTCCTCACAATATCAAGAAAATACTCAAAATTAACTACTTATCTGGAATCAACTAACTCATCAATTTCATTAAAACTTTGAAACTAGACAACTTTCGGTAATAAAAAGCTTCTTTTTTGTTGACCAGTGTAATGTAATGCACAAGTGTACTATGCAAACGACTCTTTGCCTTTGGTTTGTTTTGGCTGCGACAACATGTCATATAGATGCAGTTTCTACATCTTTCAACTTTTTGCTGGGGGGGGGGGGGGGGGTTGTTTGTTTGTTTGTTTGTTGTTGTTGTTTTTTGTTGGGTTTTTTGCTTACTTTTCTTATGTTTATGTTATTATTGTTTGGTTTGGGATTGATTTTGCGATGGCTTATAATTTTAGCTGAGGTCATTCTAATATAAACAATCGTTAAATCCCACTATTGCTCATACAATATATTTTATTGGGAGCATTCAATGGTGAGCCCTTCTCAGTGAATTCTAGCATGGGTTCGATTTGGAGGCTATTGGTTTTTTTTAGAAGAATTGCACAATGGTGTGCACAGTCATCCAGCATATACCACTAAAAATCTGGGACCACGTTAGATGTACTAAAGGTGAGGTCAGTGGATGAGGGGTTGAATATGAATCTCTTTCGGGAGGTGAGGGATTTATTATTGAAAAGGTAGATGTTGTTTTGGAATAAAGGGTTATCGGTTATTTTTCCTTTGATATCGGCTGGTTTATCTCCCCAAAGGAGACTCTGCTCATTAAAATCCCTTGATGAAATAAAAAGGTTTAGGGAGCTGGTGTTTTAATTCAGCCAGCTGGGATATTTTAGAGGCTTATTTGGCGGAACGGACATAAACGGAGCAGATCAAGATTGGTTCTGTGTGGAGAGTGTTGTTGTCGATGTAGATGGTGGTTCCACCGGGAGTGATCTGGTTCTCTGTGTGAATGTGATGATGCTCAGTAATACCTCTTCAGTCAGTGGTTGAAGCCGGGGTGAACTTTTTTCTTTTGGAAAGTGTTTTTACGGCGCTCGCAACTGCATAAGGTCATATGAGCGCGCGGGACACACCTAATATTTTCAGTTGGTAGGAAATTTTGAATTTTGCCCGGGTGACGGCCGAAGCCTACTCTTATCGATTTTAGACCACAAAGGGATCTTTAACATGCGCAATATGCACACGGGCCCTCCGAGATTTTCGGCCCATGTCCGAGAAGGCTAGGTGTAGATCTTTCCTACCAGAAGATCAGGGGTGTGGCAGAAAGACAGCAGTAAGGAGGAGCCAAGGAGTAGCAGTAGAAAGGCTGCAGAAAGAGTCAGGAGCCCAGAGGAGGGGGCAAAGGAAGTGAGGGGGTGGGGGCAGAAAGTGGAAATGAAAGCAGACAACAGAACATTGCTAGAGAGCAAGAAAGGAGGTGAAAGGAGACAATTTTAAAGAACAACATTTTCGGTCGCTACCCAGATTCGAACCCGGGACCTTTGAATGAGAGGCCAACACCTTACCTCTAGGCCACGAGAGCCCCCGCGCGAACTTTGACTCTTGGATACTCTAAGGTATGGAATAAGCCCCCCCCCTACCCACCCCCCCTGCTGCTTATTCCATACCCCCATTTAATATTTTCTAGCTTGCCATGACCAACGCTCATGTGAAATATTATATCTAGAATCAAGGCATCTAATTGAAACGTCCTTTTTTCGTAAATGGTAAATAAACCTCGGTAGTAGTGGCGGTACCGGGCTGGCTACCTCTATTTTCTGTACATTAAAAAAATGTTTTACATTGGTTTATATTTTTAATGAAACTGGTTTGTTCGTTAATGTTAAAAGTTATCCCAGTAACTTATTAAAATCACTAAAATCCCATGATCTGTTCTTCTTTTATTCACTAAAGATTAAATAAATCAGATTTGTTCCTACTAGTACCAGGGTATGAGGTGAATGTGCCATCCCCCCCCCCCTCTTTTATTCAACCCCCACCCCTTTTTTAAAATTAATTTTGGGCAACTTGTTCACCCCCCACCCCCCACCCCCATAAATCCCTAACCCCCCCCCCCCCCCCCCCGCCTTTATTTGATACCTTTTACATGTAGCACGGGGCTCAAGTGGGCACAGTGTGGCCCTGCAAAGTGTTGCAATTCCGCAATGGAAGATCGGAGTCTTCTTGAGTTCTCCGGCATTCCATTGCAGGACTGCCACAACACTTTTTTAGTTTTGGAGCACAAAAACCCGGGCGTCGGTGAGCTCTGACCTCTCATTGAGGGGAACGTAGAAGGTTTGGGAGGCGGCAGCCTGCTGCGGGAATAGGAAGAAGAGTGACGGGTTACGTCATTCTTTGGGAGAGACCACGGAGGGAGATGGGAGATGCCATCCTCCATAGGAAGAGGGTGTCTGCTGGAGACTTTTAAGGAGATGGGGCTGAGTCGAGAGGGGTTCACATTCCATTAATGGGGTGGGGCGTGAGGAGGAGGAAGGAAGGATGGAGGAGGGGCGGAAGGAAAGAAGGGGTGATGGAGGAAGAATCCACCCAGTCCTTCCTCTGAACCACAAAGCAGTTAAAGATTGGTGCCTCGAGAGTAGATGCTGCAGGGGTCAGAGGAACCTTTTTTACTTTTCTACGCAGATTTTGGCTTGCTTACCGTGGGGTGTGCTGGGTCGGCAGGAGTACTGGCCTCATGACAGGCCAGACTGCCTTCGCATATGACTGGCAAGGGACTGGAGTGAGAACTGGCGGCAGACAGTCTTACGAGCCTCTTGGAATTAGCAGCCAGTTCTCGCCTTTTACTTTTGAACGGTGCTTTTTGAAACCAAGTCGACCACTCCTTGCTGATCGTTGTGTGCAGGTTGTAGCAATTGAAGCAGTAAGGATTCCTGGTCTTGTTACAACGAGGAAAAAACCGTTACCTCAGAATTATAATGTTTTATCTGACATTTTTGGCCGTTTTGAGTTACTAAAACCACGAGGACAGAAACCAGACGTACTATCTGCTCTATCAAAATTGTAAGATTATTCGGAATAGTTATCAAGATATTAAAAAGGTTGCAATCGAAAAAGTTTGACATGATGAGGAACTCAATATCTTTAAAGCCACATTTCTCAATACCTGGTACTGAGCAGGTGGAACTTTGTAATTCTAGGGTAGCGGACATTGCACAATTTCGTCATGTTCTTCGTTGAATAGGGCGTCTTTCAGGATATCAGCTACGGTTTCTCTGTAATCTTTTGTGAACAAGTGACTTGTTTGAACTGCGAGCGGCTCACTACGAAAAAAATAACCCATTTGAGTGAATGACTTCAATGGTTACGCTACTGAATGGGGCTACGTCAACTACAACCGGACAGTCCGAAGACATGTCTGTGCTGCACGATGCCGACTCCATTCCTACCGTACTTCATTAACAGAGCCTAATGGGGTTCTCGTGGTCTTGAGGTACGGTGATCGCCTTTCATTTAATTGGTCTCGGGTTCGAAACTTGACGGCGACGGAAGATTCTCTTCTCTTAAAAAGCTAACCTTTCACTTTCACCTCCTTTCCTGCTCTCTAATTGTTATCTATCGTCTGCTTTCATCTGCCCCATCTGCACACCCTCCCCCTTTTATCCATTACCCCCTCCTCTGGGCTCCTGATTCTTTCTGCAGCTTTTTACTACTACTAATTGGCTCCTTCTTAATGCTGTCTTTCAGCTACACCTTGGTCATTGGAAGGTAAGATCTAACGCATAGCCTTCTTGGATGAGAGCGAAAAAAATCTCAGAGGTCCCGTGTGCAGGTTGTGTGCCTGAAAGATCCCTTAGTGGTCCTAAAATCGATAAGAGTAGACTTCAGCCGCCACCCGAGGCAAAATTTACAAATTAATTCGTATTAAACTGAAAATGCTTAATCTGTCCCCTCGCTTTTATGACCTTATTTGCAAGCGCCGTAAAACACACAAACAAACAAATCCCACTTAACTCTAAGCCGGCCTGATCTCATCCTCCGCTCAACCAGCATTGAACACTCCTGTCACATCGAAGTAATTGATGACGTAAGAAGCGATCACAGACCTATCACTACACAGATCACCTCTCCACCAGCACTGAACCATCCTCGGAGGACTCGATGGAACTTTAAGAAAGCCAACTGGGCAGAAAAAAAACAGATCTCTGACAAATTGCTCTCAAGCATAATAGAAACAGGCGACGCTGATCATTTTAATGAACAAGTCAGTAAAAAATACTCTTAATGCTGCACGCCAGCTCATTCAACAGAGATGCTGAACGAATTTCAGATCCCTTTGGAGAGAAGAAATTACCAAAAGCCCAAAAGCTTTAATATTTGATACGAGGATGAGATGTTGAGAATGAAGCGTGCAAAGGGGGGGGGGGAGATGAATTGAAAAATCATTGAGAAGTACACCTTAATGCTTGAATCTGACCTGATCCATTTCCGGAATATCTTCTGCTTCAGCCAACTTCCAAACTAAGAAATATCTATAAAATATAACAATAGCTTAAGCAGCAGTAAAACATAAGAAAAGAAGAAAGTGGAGCGATAGATTAATTTGAAAATCAGGAGGGGGTTCAAATTAAGGTTTAGATTCGCATTAAGTTTCAACCAAGGAATATCGGTAATTGTGAGTTTCTGTGTCTTCTACATCACGCTTGCTCTCAGGAGGCACGATAAAAGCGTGGTCGATACAAGTTTCCTTCTTCCGGATTCCTGGTTTCTCACTACGCCAAGCCTTCATCTCCTGTTGAAAATAATAATTTAAAAAAAATAATAATAAAATAATAATAATAATAATAATAATAATAATATTAATAATATAATAATAATAATAATAATAATAATAATAATAATAATAATAATTTCAATAATAATAATAGTAATGATAATAATAATAATAATAATAATAATAATAATAATAATAATAATAATAATAATAATATTTTTTTAAATAATGATGATGATGATGAGGATAATAATAATATCATATTATTGTTGTTATTATCATAATAATAATAATAATAGTAATAATGATAATGGTAATGATAATTATAATATTAATAATAATTGTTATTATTGTTATTATTATAAGAATAATAGACTGGTGGAAGGAAGAATAGAAGGACATAACAGCAAGAGTACATGAATTGCTGAATAAGTGTCAGTACGGTGAGAAATAATGGAAGAAAATATTCCGACTTTTTGTACACAAAGTGAAGTGAAAGAAATAAGTTTTGATTCTTCTTCTTCTTCTTCTTCTTCTTCTTCTTCTTCTTCTTCTTCTTCTTCTTTTTCTTCTTCTTCTTCTTCTTCTTCTTATTTATTTCTTTCTTTCTTTCTTTCTTTCTTTCTTTCTTTATGTACTTGTGCGTGTACATGTTTGAGTGTGCGTAATGAAAAGATTATAAAGAAATACTGTCTCAAAAGTAGAAAATGACATAGGTTAAAAGGTTAGCACTATGACGATGACAACAACATATATTTTTACCTGTATGGAGTTGGGCAGCGGACGTCCTCTGGTTTCAGGTAACAGACGGATCAGTAGGGCAGAGATGAGGCACATACAGCCAAAGATTGTCCCCGGTCCGTACACAGCTTTCTCAGCCTGCAGGAAACCAGCCATAGATTCGTTTACCACTTAGTCTACAAGAAATGCTCTGTAAGTAGATTTATTGGAAATAGTGAGAATTACATGTGTTCAGAATACTATAATTTTGTGTATGTTCTTTTAGGGGATAACGTAAAATGTTTTGAAAATGCCAGTGGCGAACACTAACAAAGAGCCATGAGCTGGAAGGACAGAAACAGATGGACAATGACCGGGGGGGGGAGAGCAAGAAAGGAAAGAAAGAAAGGAAAGAAAGAAAGAGAGGGGGGGGGGGGGGGGGGGAGAAAGAAAAGAAGACGGGTTTACGTAAAGCTGATTCGACAGAGATAGCTTTGAAGTTTGAGAAATAGAATAAATATAGCGCACGATTTATTTATTTTTTAAGTTGACCTGGAGTAAAACCCTTTTATTACACATTCCTACTCGACTTACAAGAAATCTGGAGTAAGGAGCCACCATTCCACCGAATCTGGACAAAGCTGAAGACCACCCAAGTCCTATTGACCTGTGGATAACATGCTGTTCATTAATGAAGGGAGTGGTTATTGAACAAATTTCTAATTGTTTTGATGAAAAAACGAAGGTATTATGTGCATGGTAGGCGGGTGCCCTGGTGTCGTTTGCTCCTTCAATCCAAACGAGCATCTATCATCCCTTTCTCTCCTCCTTCTTTTCAATTTTAATTGTATGCTACTTATTAGTAAAAACTTCTACTCTTGATCTGTTATATGACCTATTTGTGTTACAAATGCCGTAAAACTCTTACTTCAACTGAAACGAAGCTGGTTTTGACACGTGTCCTGGAAGCCATATGTTTCAATGAAGAAACAATCATGCCATGGGGTATTTTCTACTACAGAGGACATATTATATTAACGTAAAATTCCCATTCTTGTTTAATAATAATAACCCATTGAAGAATGACTTCTCAAAACTTGGTTTAAAAAAATTGGGACAGAGCATATCTTTGAACATCAATTGAAAGGAACTCCATTTGCTGTTGTATCATTTAAAGATATTTTGTTTGTTCTTTTTGTACTGCGAAAGGTTGTCGGCTCTATCATATGCTCTGCACAGGGTGTATGTCTTTGTTTGTTTTTATATTTTTGATCTTTATTGTTTTGATTTTGTTGTTGTTGTTGTTGTTGTTGTTGTTGTTGTTGTTATTGTTTACTGTTATTGTTGTTGTTACTGTAGCTGTTTTTGATGTATCAGTCGGAGTCCTTGGTGCCTTTCATTAGAAGATTCAAAGATGCCTGCCCTATATATTGTTATAAAAGATGGCTCAATAGAGTCGAAAAAGGGTCAAAAGAAAGAAAGAAAGAAAGGAAGAAAGAAAGAAAGAAAGAAAGAAATTTAAAAAGATGAAAAAAAAAGAAAACCAGAAAACAAAGAAGAAAACAAAACAAATTAATAAACAAATAAACAAAGAAGTGATTCCTACAGTAGTACCTGAGATTGGTGGGGAAAAGCTCTGGAGTGAGCAGGTAAAGAGCGTTAAAGGCGCCAGTGATGGAGAACTTGCCTAACAGAGAAAACACTATGGATGCTGTGCTGGCCTCCTGTTCTGGACCTGAAGGGGTGGACACAAGACTGTCTGTAAATGGGTTAAACCTACGCATCCATTAACACATTTTAGATTACTGTAAAGGCGGACTGGTCCGATTCTGCTTGAAGCCAAACAAATTAATGGACTGTCCGTCAGAAGAGCAATACCTATCAACACCTATCTTAGCTTCACCATGATGATGGATACAATCAGCCTGCCAACTCTGAAATGGACAGTCAAGAAGAGGGGCGAGAAAGCAAGGAGCATCCCGTCTTCCTAAGACCCCAGTTCTAGATTCAAGTAGTTGAAGTAAGTGTCTCAGCTGCATTAATTATAATTTTATATTCAGTCTCTTCGGGGCATCAACGCATACAGGGGTAGGAACATAAGCCATAGAACTACAAGCGTTGACTTTCCAACAGTTTCAGAGCGGTGCACTCGACGCAGGTTACCTCACCAACTTTTTTTTTTGGTTCTGTTTTGTTTGGTTTTTTGTTTGGGTTTTGTTGTTGTTGTTGTTGTTGTTGTTGTTGTTGTTTTGTTGTTGGTTTGGGGGGTTTTTTGGGGGGGTTGGTTGTTGCTGTTTGTTTTTGAGGTGGGGGGGGGTTTGGGGGGGGGTCTTTTTTGGAGGTCGGGTGGGTGGGATATGATGGATTTTTAAAAAAGGTATACCGCATTGACACTATGCTACCTTAGTATTATAAAGCTTTATCTGTCATTTTTGGCCGCTTTGAGGTCAGAAGTAAAACGTGAGATTATTCGGAGTTGTAGAAAAGGCTAGACAAGTTGTGAGGTACTGAACATACACTGTTACTGCTACCGATCCCATAATCTACGAGGATCATGGGGGCCCTATTTGACAGAGAGCTTCGTCAGATGCCTCCACTTTTCCAGGATTTTTGCTAGCTCCTGAGTTAGGGCAAAGGATTTCCCTGTCCACTCCTCAACGTTGTTGGTCCACCTCTCCCTTTGCTTTCCTCTCCTACTCCTCCCTTGCACAGTTCCCTTAAGAATAGTCTTTGACTGCCCACATGAACTTGTTACATGGTTATACCATTCCAGTTTTTTCGCTTCACAGTAGACAGCCAGTCTAGTTGCTCACGTGTTGTTTCACTCTACTGTTCACTTCTTCATTTGTGACGTGGTCAGTGTATGAGATGCCAAAGAGTCGTTTGGCATCTCATTTCGGCTGTTTGGATCATCCTCTGAAGCTCTTCTGTCAAGGTCCATGATTCACAAGCATAGAGAAGGGTGGAGATAACGAGGCATTGAGTATTCTGAGTTTGGAATTGACAGAGATGTTTCTATCTTTTCATACTGATCTTAGTTCTGTGAGCGCCCCTGTTGTTTGTGCAATTCTTGCTTGGACTTCTGGTTTGCATCCTTCTTGGCTGATGATAACACCAAGGTACTTGAACTGGTCTACTGTTTCAAACAGTTGATCTTTACTTTACTTTACTTTACTTTTATCCGCCGCTTATACTCTTTTTTGGTGTAGCGGGAAGTAAGAGACGTCTCTCTGTCGCCAGCCGGAGAGCTTGGGTCAGGGGGGATGTCGTGGGTGTCTAATAATGTTACCCTGACTCCATCTATCTAGGTCTCTCTCGGTCGCACTCTAGCCTTGTTGCCATCATTTTTTAAATGTAGGCACAGTTGATCACTGACCGTAATTTTGGTTTTGATGGGTTCGTCACTATTTCTCATCATCTTTGTTTTCTCAGCCCTAAAGTTCGTGTCATATCTGGTTGATGTTTCATCCAGTCGTTATACCAGTCTGGTGAGTTCTTCTTCATTTCCTGCCAGTCCGTCAATGTCGTCGGCAAACCTGAAATTAAAAATCGTTCGTCTACCGATACTGACTGTGCTCGTTGGATCTTCAAGGGAATCAGTCATGATTTGTCTAAGAATTGGTAAATCATCAATGTTTTTATATTCATGGCAGGATCTTATTTTGGGGTCACTGTTGGATTGAAGGTTATAAAGGTCTGAACAGTCCTCAGTCCATCTTTTTAGGACGTCCACTTCCTCTGTGAGGCAGTTCCCAGCTTTGCCTTGGATGGTGCTAACTCGTGCTTCCCTTGGTTTTGTTAGTTCCTTTACTGTTTGGAATGCTTGTTTGCTGCTCTTCTCCAAATTTTCCCCAATTTTCTTGCATTGTTTCTCAATCCAATTTTCTCAGGCTTGATTTATGCCCTTCCTAATCCTTTTGTTGATATCTCTGTAGTCTTTAGCTTCAGAGACCGTTTTCTTACTTTACTTCAGATCCTTCTTTTTTTCAACTGATAAATTGTGTAGTTCTATGGTGGTGACTAGTTTACAGTTAAACAGCATGTAGACGTTAGAAAAAGCCTTTGAATAAGAAATGGTATGATATTGTACGAGATTAGCGTCCCGTGTAAGACTCAAAAGATGTATATAAAAATCCCAAGGCAATCAAAGATCAAGGTTCCCGTAAATAAACGAATAAAATAAATAATGTATTGTGCCATATTCTTACACAGTACGCTCGTAAATAAACAATTCGACTTACTCAGCAAAAGTAGTACCGAAGTAATGAGACAAACGCCTGACAATACCAGGAAAATCGTCTCAATCAGTCTTCGTTTCATTCTGAAAAAAAGCATGTAAGTCGAGCAAGCATGTTCATAGGAACACAGGACTGTACTTACATTAATTTGTTTTTGTTGTTGTTGTTGTTGGGGTTTTTTTGGGGGGTGTAAAAAATCTACAGGGCTCGGAACTACGTACATAAGGTCATATGAGTGCGCGTTCTCGCTTTTAATATAAATCACGATAACCTGATATTAAGATGATACATTGCGTATAATGTGGCCCATTCTTGAGTAACAAGTTAAGAGAATATCAAGAGAAAATTAAACGTCTCTTACGGTCACAACACATTTGACAAAAGCCTTCCGTATTTGTGGCGGATAGCAAAAAAAAATACAATCCTTAATCCTTAGCCTAACAGTGAGTAGAGCTTTTTTGTTCTTAATTTTTAAAACATTGTTTTGGACAAACCAGTGCCTCGTCTTACTACAGAAGTGGTTGTATTAATAGCAGAAAAAAAATGGTTTTAATTTTATATAAATATTAATTATGATGATGAGAAGAAGAAGAAGAAGAAGAAGAAGAAGAAGAAGAAGAAGAAGAAGAAGAAGAAGAAGAAGAAGAAGAAGAAGAAGAAGAAGCTGCTGCAACATTCGCAAGGGAAGTAATAATGGTACTCTGATGATTCCATTGATTATCCCCCCTTATTCAGTTTTTCCTTTGGGATGCGTGTGAAGCACAATTTCCAGGCGGCGATAGCTCGTTCCATAAATATACTCTATTAAAAACCGATACCGGTGAACGGAATTACCTTCTCAGCATGAAATAGGCAACAGAGTGTGAGGGCCATTCCGCCAAACCAGAGAGGAGAAAATTCACGAATCGGTCTCCAGCCAAACTTGAGGAAGTCAGGATGAGACCAAAGTATGTCACTCCGTTCGTAACCCTGGTTGTTTGGATTTAAATAAAAGCAGCGGTGAATAATGATACACATCTGTGTTGAACTAATGTGTATTGAACTTATGTGTGAATTACAAATCTCAAAATGACTGCATAGATACTGATATAATTAAAAATAATAGCAGCTGCAAGGATTGATTCTCCTTCATAACTAATAATCGTAGCCTCCATTGAGATATCATTTTTTTAAAAATATATATACCCTCAGTAAAAAGTAATTGTCGATAGATTTCAGACTTCAATTTTGAAAAGGTTATAATAGCGCTACATTAATAATTGAATCGTTAGTGCTAGTATCATCATCATCATCATCATCATCATCATCATCATCATCATCATCATCATCATCATCATCATCATCATCAATATTCACAAACGGAGGTTGTCTGTCTTCTACATTTCGGAATTTGAAAAACAATTATACTGTGTCAATAACACATGTTATTCTTACTAGGCCTTTGATTAACATTTTACTTCAGAAATACAGAGTAATTAGACGTTAGACTATATTTCTGATGGGGGCTAAACTTTACTTTTACCCCGGAGAGTAAGGCGAGATGTCTGTTTTTATGAAGCGTGAGTCAAAAGAAATAAACAATAAGAAAAGATGGTTGAAGGGCACCGCTGGTAGTTCTAACTTCTTTTTTTTCTCTCTGTGGTTTCACTCTTGCCTTTTCCTCCAGTAAAAAATTAATCGTTATTGTTTCCATGCACTTCGCATTATTCGAACAAAACAACAGCAAAAAACCTTCTATTGTTGAAACCTACCAGACAAAAGCTAGGACAAAGCTTGTGAGTGCGATCTGCTTGTGTTTGAATAGATCCAAGATGGTGTACTTCTCCACGTGTAGCTCTGGCTTCTCCTCGCCTTCTCTTTCCTCCAACATCTTCTTGACTCTGCGAGAAAAGGTGTAAAAAATCATAAAACCCGGTTTAAGAAAATCCTCAACACGAGAACATTGTTTGAATCTCGAACCGGTATTGTAATGGCTCTGACTTTTTACAGCTTGTGTGTTCTCCTTAAATTATTGAACATCTTAAAGTTCTGATATTCAATTCAGAAAGTTTTCTACACATTTAGTAGTCGTTAATTACTTCTAATAATCGTTGTTTTTAATGAATAAGCTCTTGCTTTGTGTGTGTGAGTGTGTGTGTGTGTGTGTGTGTGAGTGTGTGTGTGTGTGTGAGTGTGTGTGTGTGTGTGTGTGTGTGTGTGTGTGTGCGTATGTATATGTACGTGTGTGAAGTGTGTGTGTGTGTGTGTGTGTGTGTGTGTGTGTGTGTGTGTGTGTGTGTGTGTGCGCGTATGTATATGTACGTGTGTGAAGTGTGTGTGCATGTGTGTTATTGTCTGGTTGGTGGAAGGGGGTCTACATCTTAAACAAAATTGACAATCAAAAATCATCAACCTCTTATAGACACAGATGTGACAAATCATGACAACTCGACAGAGGAAAACTTTATTGACTGTATTTCGGAGATGTCTCAAGCATCGTTGGGAAGCTTTTTAAAATCCTCTGTTCACGAACTTTTTTGACAACTGGGCCCTCTGCCTGAAAACAGAGTATTTACAGTTGCAGGGGTTTTTTTTAGTTTTGGTAAAAGTTTTACGGTATTTGCAACACAATAAGGTCATATAAGAGCCGCCAAAGACTAGAGACGTTACAAGAGAGTAACAAACACAAAAGGGAGGAGAGATCAGGACGATGGATGTTTGATAGTAAAGAAGTAGCAAACCACACCGGAGTACCCGCCAAACACCTGCTCTTTTCAGTGTTAGTAATCCATCTCTCAATTAAATGAAATATGTAAGGCAGCGTGGAGGAATCAGGGTCTCGTCAAAATAATCAAAGTGAAGAAACTTGCATTTTTCCGCAGGTTTGTGAATTTTTATCAAATATATGTTTTTTTGGCCAAAAACCTTTCGTGCCCCTTAAAGAATTCATTTCTCGGTGGATTTTTCTGAAAAACGTTTATTAAAGGCACAAAAAAGTAAATTTTCAGTTAACATGGACTCTCAAGCTGAGGAAATAACTAATCTTTGGCGGCCATTTTCTGACAAATTTTACCTCTGAAAACAGGTGGCCCCCACCTCCTTCTTTTGCAAATATCACGACTTGTATTCAAGATAAATGGATATTTTTTTCATCCAAATAAAGACAAGTGAAAAAGCTTTAAGTTAATACCAATAACTCTACATGTCCCAAATTTGACGAGAGCTTGATTCCACCTCACTGCCTCACATATTGTTAGCAAAACCTGAGCTATGAAGTAGAGTTTCATTTGGACGTACCTTAATTTTTCCACAACATTTTTGTCAAAGAGGCTTTTCACGTGAGCAAAGTCCTTCCCGTTCTGTTCACACCATTTCCTGAAGATTTCAAGAGCTTCATCTGCCCGATTGTTGCAGGCCAGCCATCTTGGAGATTCCATTAGAAGCCTAGACAGATCAATCACGCAAAAGAGTCTGATTACTCTCTGAATATTGAAGAGGTTTTTTGTTTGTTTGTTTGTTTGTTTTAACCGGCGTATGTGATGTAGTGGCTTGGCGTTTCGCAGTCGTACGCAGGAGAGCAGAGTGGGGAGAAATTTGTATCGAGCTCCTCGACCTTTCTGCTGTGGTATGAATCCCTCTCAGTTTGGGCTGGTCCTAACAGGCAGGGCTGGAAGCCCACTTCCTTAATTACATGTATCTAAATTGTATCAATTGGAACAAAAAGCTACAGCATTCACAAAATGATAGAGTGTTTAATGTTTCGGGGCGGGGGGGGGGCATAGTTTTACAGTATATGTAAGTTTTTATTGACACTCTGAACACTCTATGAGACATTTTTAAAATTTGTTGATGGAAGGCTCTTCTGTGTGCGCCTCATATTCAACAGGTCCCGGGTTCGAATCCGGATAGTGACGGAAAATTCTCTTCTCTAAAATGTCTCCTTTCATATCCTTTCCTAATCTCTAACGATGTTCTGTAGTCTGCTTTCGCCTCCACTTTTTACCCCCAACCCCTCACCTCCTTTGCCCCCTCCTCTGGACTCCTGACTTTTTCTGCAGCCTCTCTGCTGCTACTTCTTGGCTCCTTCTTATTGCTGTCTTTCAACCACAACCCTGATCTTGTGGTGGGTAAGATCTACACCTAGCCTTTTCGAATAAGGGCAAAAAATCTCAGAGGTCCCGTGGGGTCATTGCGCACGTTAAAGATCCGTAGGTGATTCAAAATCGGTAAGAGTAGGCTTCGGTCGCCACCCACGCAAAATTCAAAATGTCCTACTAACTTAAAATGCTAAACGTGTCCAGCGCAATATGGCCTTATGCTGTTGAGAGCTCCGTAAAACACTTATAATAAATAGTTTTTAAAGAATTAACAAAAAGCTTAATAAACGAGAAAGGGGAACACAGGGTCCCCGAATAGGGAAAAAATTGTCTTTGTAAAAATGGAATCGGTCTTGGAATGTTAGTAGTTGTCTGCACTGATATTCAATTCTTTACTAGCAATCCGCCAAGATTCAAATTTTTCGCATGTCGAATGAAAAGTTAGAAAAGTTTTGATGATATGTTATTATTCGAATCACACTTAGCATGGACGGCTCAAGAGAGTTCGTCAGAAATAACAAGATAATAGCAGAATTAGTGGCTTTTCCATTTCAGAATAAAAAATCGTTGAGTACAGTTAAAACAGACAATGCCAATGAAATAAACCGTTCCTCACATACGTGCTTCAGTGAGTATGATATTGCCTCGTTATTGGTAAATGATGACAGCTAGGCCCTATAAAAGTTAAATGAATTAGCAGCTTTGTTAATAGCAAATGAATATGCCATTAGCATTTCATTCAGAATTCAGCATAGCATGTTATTGAATAAATATTTTAATTTGCGTGGAAATGAAAGCTATGAATTAATTGAAAATACTATTTCACATAAATCTGCTCTTGCAAGCACCATGTAGTTGCATTATGTAATATAAAATACCACAAATAAAATCTACAGCAGCATGTATTGGACTTAATGAATATGAGCAAACGTTTGGCTTCATAAAACACTGCAATTTTTAAAGCTCTCAGAAAAAATATAATGTACAGATGGGAGCATGCATATAAGTATTGAAAAACATTCATTGAGAGGCATTATCATGAATCTATCTGGATAACACAACATGTTTCAGAAAAAATTTGCCATCGAAAGAGGAGTATAACAAGGATACCCCATATCACTTAAACTATTCACAGCACCAGTCGAGGAAATGTTCAAAAATCGTCGCCCACTAAAGGAATGTTAATCGATGGAGAACAACTGAAAGAACGGATATTCGCCTATGATATGTGAGGCAGCGTGGTGGAATCAGGCTCTCGTCAATTTTGGGGCATGTAGAGCTATTGGTATCATCTTCAAGCTTGTTCATTTATCTTTATTTGGATGGGGAAAAAATCAATTTATCTTGAATACAAGTCGAGGTATTTGAGAATGAATGAGGCGGGGGTCACCTATTTTGAGAGGTAAAATTAGTGAGAAAATGGCCGCCAAAGATTAGTTATTTCTTTAGCTTAAGAGTCCGTGGTAACTGAAAATTTGCAATTTATGTGCCTTTAATCAATGTTTTTTTAAAGAAAAATCCACACAGAAATGAGTTTTTTAATGGGTATGAAAGGTGTTGAGCTAAAAATAAAAAATTTGATAAAAATTCACAAACTTGCGGATAAATGCAAGTTTCTTCACTCTGATTATTTTGACGAGAGCCTGATTCCACCACGCTGCCTTGCACATCATACTTAGCACTGAGAGTGAACAACAAATACAGATTGACCTGAACAACATAGACAGAGAACTACAAAGTGGGCATAAAAACCCACAAAGATAAAATCGAACACATGTACATGATGAACTACATCAGCAGCAAAACGTTTGCTCTAGTAAACCAGAACAATGAAAATTGACAGAATATAACTACTTCATGCAAACAATGAGTGGAGAGGAGTGAGCAGCATTGAAGGGGACGAAATGATACATGCGATTTGGGGTTGCTTTGGAAGATACAGGGAAATATCAGAACACGAAAAACAGCCAAACTCACGGTAACAAAAAAAAAAAGAATTCAGTCAAAATATTGTTCCGATTATACGCCAAGGGGCTAGATCTGGCATATATATCATTATCATAAATAAACTAAGGTCCCCGCTGAGAGCAATGGAAAAGACGATCCTGAGTATAAAAGTATAAGGTCAAAAAAGCACACGGAACAAAAATACGAAAGAAACCTGGAGTAGCAGAAGTCGGCAAACAAAGTAAATTAAGAAAAGAATTACAAAAGACATCTGGAGTAGCAGATGTTCCCCCAAAAATAATAGAATCAGAAAATCTTCTTACCAAGGCAAAAGGACACAGTACGAGGTGGTGGCTGTCATGATCAGCTGCAGTGTGCGCCAAGAGTGGTATCTCAGCAGCCAAGCCAACAGACCTAACGTCAAAACAGAGGTGGACCACAGGGTACCACACACCACAGACCCCAACATACGGTGACGTGGAGACATCATTTCCAGGAACAATGTGAGGGACGAAAGGCACACACCCTGTTCAGAAGGGGGAAAAGTCGCTACCTTAAAACTGCAACTTTTTATCTGACATGTGTTGACTGTTTTAAGCAACTGAGACTTTGAGCTGGTTATAGCAAATATGAGGGGGGAGGGTGGTGTGGATAATTACAGGCGCCAAGCAAGTAATATATAATGTATTCGACTTTCTAAATCAAACAGTTTGGTTTCAAAGGGGAAGCATTTTCGTTTCTTTGGTGCCGAAGAAATGCTGGGAAATTCCAGGAAACTACACTGAACTTAAGCAAGCGCACGCTGTGCGAAAGTATCTATTCATTCGAATGCACGTCTGTGTCATTATATCCTCTATAACGTATTGTTTGCAAAACAAGTCATGTTGCGGTATAGAGCCTAACATACGGGAACGTTTAATTCCACTGTAATTCATTACATATATCTATGTCAAGATTAACTTGTAATTGTTATATTGTAATAATTGTAATATTGATCAGTAGTTGGGGAAAAATAACTGTGTCGTGTTTGTATCTCTATTGACGTTCCACGCTCGGACCTCTTGTACCTCTACTACTACTACTACTACTACTACTACTACTACTACTACTACTACTACTACTGCTACTACTACTACTACTACTACTACTACTACTACTACTACTACTACTACTACTTAAATTTTGTCACTTCATATCCACATGGCGTTTCCCAATCACCTGTTGGAATCCACCAATGAGGAAGCGGAACAGAGTCAGAGATCCTATTTCTGGCGCCACTCCTATAAGGATGTGCAGTATCGTCATGCCAAAAGACGTGAAGACATAGATGGGTTTCCGACCGAAGCGATCAGCGAGCGATGTGAAAATGAAACCACCGATGCCTTGGCCTAACATAAGAAGTGTCTGTGAAAGGTCCCCAAGACCCGTTCTGTCACAGACCAGGTCCATCTGAAGGGGATAAGGACGGGAATATGGTAAAAGTCAAGTATAGAACCCCCCGCTCCTCCACACACCACACACACATACACACACACACACACACACACACACACACACACACACACACACACATACACATACACACACACACATACACACTCACGTGCGCACATACATACACAAACACAAGGGAAGCTGAAACATTTCAACTGAAAGAGCCGAAGAGTTTGAATACCATAGAAAACTGCAACTGCCTTCGAAGCTCATAGGCAACGTGTGATGGAAAGGTAACAGAAAGAAGCAAAACGTGAGGAGAAAGAAGAGACAATAAATGAATACCAAAGATTCTGACCCGACAATAATAAATTTACTCTCGAAGTGCCATTGAATAGCAAAAAAATAAGTTGATGACATACAAAAATTTTTTGTCTGTGTTTTTGTTTTTTTGTTTTGTTGTTGTTTTTTTGCTAATTATTAAATATTTCTTGATTTGTGGCGAAAAAGTAAATCTGGTGAGATCGCACACGTCCCTGAAAGCAATGTGAATAATTTTGAAAAGAAATACTGTGGTTTTCGCTTGTTACAGATTGGATCGTAGACCTACCAAAACATATTTTTCTCCAGCAGAAAGCCACAGATGCTGGAGTAAAAGCTGGGTGTCACTTCGTTATATCAGACTTACAAAGTTCTATCTGCTCAGTACCTAGTTTTGATAAATTTGACGTTAAAAATGTTGAGGTTCATAAAACGCCAAGCGTTATCTAATGCAATTCTTTAAATTGGTGAAATGTTATAGGTTTAACGCTCCTATCAACATTGTTAATATATTTAAGAGGCAGAACTCCGAGTTTAACGCCCATCTCTGGAAGGACCGAGCCAAGTGGGAAATTCGTTTAAAGTGCCTTTCCAAAGACACAACGTCGGACCGAGGTGAGGCTCGAACCCCCGAACCTGCAGTCTCACGATTACGAGCCCGGTTGCCTAACCACTAGGCTACTGACGCCACGAGACAATTCTTTGAACAATATCTTGATAACGACTCTGAATTATCTTAAGACTTTGAAAGACAAAATAGAAGAGTTTGTCTCTGACATCACGGTCTTAGTAACTCAAAACGGCCAGAAATGTCAGATAGAACGTTGTCATTCTACGGCAGCAGCCTGTAAAATGCCAAATAATACAATTAATATACAATTTTACTCAAGTGATTCAATTTATCTCATTCTCTCTGACAAAGACAAATTTGATGCTATTACCCTCACCTCAGACGTAAAGGAAATATATTTGTTGCCGAAATAATTGTGTCCGTTGACACAGCTCATCGTATGTGTCGTCACAGCGGCAGAGTCGTTGACCACCAAAGTCACGGCACACTTCCCGTAGCTTGCCTCCAGACTGGCGTTGTCCGGCACAGAGAAGAGATCCCTCATTTCCGTCACATTCACGGCATTGCACTCGTGGGCCGGCTCGTACCCTGGGGAGATCTATTCCTTCAGACGGGCGCTGGCTGGGATTTCTTGGTGTTTGTTTTTGTATTGGCTCTGACTTCGTGGAGCTTGAATTTGGTAGTAACAAACACTTAAGTAATAGTTTGTTCTGTTTGTGGGTTTTTTCGTTTGTTTGTTTGTTGTTGTTTTTTTAATTTTGATGTTGTAATAATGTAACAAACACAGTAAGACATTAGCTGTCATCCAAAATAATTAATTGATCTGATCAAATCCATTTATGGAGACAACAACTGGCCCTACATCATAAATGTGGAACCTCAGAATGATTTCTTGTTACAAAAGGCATGAAACAAGGATTCGTACTATCACTTCATCTCTTCAGTATATATATATATATACACACACACACAGAACGAATAGTGCTGGAACTAGTACATTTAAGAAGGAATAAAAGTGACGAGCCAGCAGAGCTCGGAATGCATTTAAGAGAATAAAGAAATTCAGATGACACTGCACTCCTTGCCTCAGCACCAAAAGGGCTGGAGACGTTGATAAATATCAGTCAAAGAACGCAGTGACCAGAAAGGATTATGTTTAAATGTAGAGAATACCAAAATCATGGACACAGACAAATGCAAAGACGAGGCTGTAATTAGAAATGATGGGTTAGAAATAGAAAAAGTTTGTTGTTTTGTTTTGGTAAGAGTTTTACGATGCTCGCAACTGCATAAGATCATGTGAACGCGCGAAACACAGGTTGGTCTCTCTCACAACAGTTCACTGCAGGGCTTGGCTTGAGTCAAGAAAACAATCCATTGTTTTGGACTTCCTTTACTCTCACCATCAGGCTCACTCATTTGAATCTGAAGAGAGATATAACGCGCTACGAGATAAATAGGCTTGGCACTAAGACTTATTTAAAGTACAGGCAACACAGGATTGAGTCTGTTCCTAACAAAAGGTTTTTAAAAACATTTTCAGTCTTCCCATCATGTTCTTGTTGATACAGACGTCATAATTATAATAGTCCCACTTACATAGAATATTTCCTAACAGAAACATAAGAAACACCGTTTAATACAAGAAGTGGCTTCTGCAATGGACAACGAGACCAATTCTGACAAAAAATGGTTTACTCCATTTTGAGCATTTAGAGGGTTCATTTCTTCCCTTTTCGAAAAAATTATTTTCCTGTCAACTGGCTTCTTTCCTGGGAACAACGTGATGTGCCTTCAGAATAATCTGTTCTGTGTTAACAATAGCTTTCTGATCAGTAAAAATTCGATAAAGAGATCCACAGCAACAAAATAATGAACATTCAGCTATAAGAAGATGCAAAACAGACAAACGCAAGAGAACGATAGTAAAGCAAAACAGACTTAAACTAGAGGGCGGTCTTAAAGCAAAACAGTCAGAAGTAAGAGAGGATTTACCAACGCCACTGGGGCAAATGCTTCAAGGAAGGATGGGATCAAGGAGAAAACACCTCTACTTCTCACCTGTAAACACCCCGATCAGTACAGCAAAGGACAGGCAATAAATCCCCAGAACTTGCAGCACCGCTTGGACGCCCTGATATCTTCCCTTTAGGCCCAGGTACTCGATGACGGGTTCAAAATCTGGCATATTCGTGTCTGCCATGGTGAGGCTTGTCTTCTCAAAACAAAACAAAATACCAAAGTTGTTACTTAAAATAGTATACCGTGATTGTAATGAAAGGAACCTCAAATCAGTAGGTCAAATCATCAAATCAAATCACCAGCATGATAAGTTGAGTCTAGCGCAAACTGTAACCTCCTTGGTC